TTTCTTAAAATCCATGCCACATATGCACTATTTCTTAATTATTGAATTATAATTTTTTTTTGTTGGTTATTTACCTAATTCATCCAATTAATCTTATAAATAGCGCATTTAATATGTTTTAACAATAAATTTGTTATTAGCTATGATTAAAAAGATTAAAAAAAAAACAACTAAGAAAATATGCATGTTAATACTTTATGGCAATATGCACAGTAATCAAACAAAAAATTCACAATATACTACCATCATGTACAATTTTTTTTTTTTGTTCGAGACTTACTTACGGTTCTTCTTACTTTGGCTTTTCATTGTCTTTTTGATCTTATCTTCGTGTGAGAACCTTTTTTTTTTTGTTGTTGAAATATGAAATTTATTAATCAGTAAAAGAAAAATACTTACAAGGGTTTGGTCTTTTCCAACAAACTAAGCAATGTGATATTGGTCAATTGAAAAAAAAAATTAAAAATACTCCACCAAATTTATCACGACAAGGGAGGGAGGTATTCAGCTTGGGATGCTTGTTGATCTTGACCAGCGCTGCGTCACTTCAGTCAAACGACTCTCGTCTCCATGGTAGATAGCTTGCAGTCGGTTTTGCATATCTTTATCAATTGTTCTTGTAAGTAGAAGGACAGATCGAGGAGGTTGTTGATGTCTTCTGTTGTTTCTTTCTCTCCAAATGCCATAGACAATGGCTTGAAGTGCTAAGCGGTGCAGCAGAGAGTCATCCCAATGTTCTGCCGAGTAATGGACCGAAGAGTGATCTCCCAATCTGGGTATCCTCCTTCCTGGTAAGCCACAACATAGCCAATTCCAGATGGTGAACGAATAGGGGGAAGCCATGAACAAATGATCCCTAGTTTCATCGACTTCTCCACATAGTAAACAAGCATGATTCAATCCCCACGTTCTCATACGAGCTCTAGTTGACAAGCGATCTCTAATGGCAGGCCAAGTGATAAAGCTATGTCGAGGAATAGCATGAGAGAACCAAACAATCTTGTGCCACCACACTTTTGGATTCACTGTTCTAAGTTGTTCCCAAGTTGCTTTTGTCGAGAAATGATCCTTGTATTCTCCACTATAATGTCTCCATTTCACTTTATCCTGACCAGCCGAAGCTTGGGGAACAGGGCTTCTTGTGAGAACTTTGGTTTCATAAATCATACGATACTAGGTGATTTCCGACTGTACTTGTTTTTGTTGTTTAGTGTTTAAAATTTCATCACTAGTAGCTCATATGTGTATCCAGAATTTCTATACATTACTTGCAAGTAGAGAAAT